GATTGTTTTAGGGTTCTTTTTGAAGGACAGAATATTATCATCAATATTGAATTTCGGGATTTCTCTCCCTAAGCAAGATTTTGCTTGAATTACTCGCTGAACGCTGCGTCATTGAAGAATATGACCTAAAACAAGGTCACAGAGAGAGAGAGAGAGACAGATGAGCTTTTGGTTCGAAGTGCGAATTTTAACTCATCAATATTGGGATTGGGCTCTTATAGCCCCACTTGATACGAGATCGAGAGATGCGTTTCTTGCTTTTAATGGAGAGGCCCTTCTTTGACGAGTGCCTCAACGATGCTAGTTAATGCTACTGAAAATATTAAGAACACATATCAATGCATTGAACAAGTTGCACATTTAAAAAAAGCTATCTATACAAGTGCCTTAAAAGACATATTAAAAAAGAGTGCGCATTTCAAGAAAGTCATCTATTTCGGATAGAAATATTTGCGTTTCCTTATGCTAATATCGGCATGTCATGTCATTATCAATGGTTTAGCTCGAGTTATTTAAAGTCTCTAGATCTGAAGGATTTTATGTGGCCCGATGATTATTGTTAAGAGAAGGAGAAATCGCAAAAAAAGCTTTGTTATTTTTGGGGGTTTAATGTAGTCAAGGCAATTACAAACAAGATAAGACACCTATCAATTTCACTGCTAACAAGTTTTAACAGATAGTTTATCCGTAGTAAGTTAGTGATATCGGATTCATAAGATATCCCACTAATCCTCAAACTAAATCCGAGCAGTGGGGACCCCCAACCTAAACAAGAAAGTGGCCAAAGTTCGTGTGGAGCATTCTGAGAGGTGTTCGAGATTCCGGACTTGCGGTCGTGGTTTTTATCCTCAATAAACAACTGAAATCATGCGTGTTTGAGTGGCATCCACCTTTTCAAGAGCCTTGAGAGAGACCAGAAAGCTTGAAAAAGAGGCAAAACTTTGAGTGCGGCTTTACCTTCACTAGTTTCTGTCAAACTTAGTGGGTGGGTCGGTGGGAGGGAGGGAGTTCCAATCTTTGTTGGCCTCTTGCACCTCCCGGTATCTCTCATTCATTTCAAAGTCACACGCATCACAGCCCAGCCTGCCTTGGACTCGCACAAGAGCCGAAACCCATGTGAACCAGGTGCCGCATTTCCCCCTCAGACCCAGACACCCGATTTTCCTTCTCCTCCTCTGTTTCCTCAGGTCGCATATAAAGGGCGACGGGTGACGGCTTTCTCGCTCCTCCGCGTTCAGACATCACCCCAGTCAGCTTATTTTTACTCGTCCGCCATTCCTCAGGAGCTGAGAAGAATCCCCCTTTTCTTAATTGCTTCCTGGAATCTCGTGAATTTGCTCTGTTTTTATGGCCAAAGCCCTCGTTTCTCTCTGCTTCTTGGTGATCTTTGCGGACCCATCTTTTTCTCAGCTCGACGAGCTGTTCTTCAGCGGGTTCGATGGTGCGGGAAGCAACATGAGCTTCAATGGCGCCGCGGAGGTCGAGGGCAACGGCCTCCTTCGCCTCACCAACGACTCGCTCCGAGTTCTTGGGCACGCCTTCTACTCATCCCCTGTTCAGTTCAAGAACTCTAGTGATGGCAAAGTGAGGTCCTTTTCAACTTCTTTTGCTTTTGCGATAAAACCTCAGTACCCGAAGCTCGGTGGTCACGGTCTCGCCTTCACGATCTCTCCCGACAAGGAGCTTAGTGGGGCTCTTCCTAGTCAGTACCTCGGGCTTCTGAACACGAGCGATAATGGTAACTTCTCGAACCATGTTTTTGCGGTTGAGTTTGACACTGTTCAGGACTTCGAGTTTGGTGACATAAACGACAACCATGTTGGGATCGACATCAACAGTTTAGTGTCGAATAAGTCTGCCCCTGCGGCATATTATGCTCAAAATTCCACAAAGCTGGACCTTAATCTCAAAAGTGGTGAAGTAATTCGAGCTTGGATTGATTATGATTCACTGAACAATCGATTGGATGTGAAGATTTCGCCTTCTTCCGTCAAGCCCAATAGTTCGTTTCTGTCTTTTGATGTGGATCTGAGCTCGATCTTCGAGGATTCCATGTATGTCGGGTTCTCTGCTTCGACTGGTTTGCTTGCTAGCTACCATTACATCTTGGGTTGGAGTTTTACGATGAATGGAGATGCTAGATCTTTGTCTCTGTCATCTCTCCCTTCTCTTCCCGGGCCTGAGAAGAGCAATACGGCCTTAATTACGGGGGTGTCGGTTTCCGCTGCTTCTGTGGTTATCCTAGTGGCTGCATCGGCCCTTTACATCATCAAGAAAATCAAGGATGCAGATGTTATTGAACCTTGGGAGCTCGATGTTGGGCCCCATCGATTCCCTTACCAAGAACTCAAGAAAGCGACCCGCGGTTTTAGAGACAAAGAGCTGCTTGGGTTCGGTGGGTTCGGTCGAGTTTACAAAGGGACTATACGGAGCACAAATACCCAAGTTGCAGTTAAGCGGATCTCTCACGAATCAAAACAGGGTCTGCAAGAATTTGTGTCTGAGATTGCCACCATAGGGCGTCTTCGGCATAGAAACTTAGTCCAACTATTGGGATGGTGTCGGCGGCGGGGCGATCTTTTACTTGTATATGACTTCATGCCTAATGGAAGCTTGGACAAGTACCTATTTGATGAACCCAAAACCATTCTGACTTGGGAACAGAGGTATAGAATTATCCAAGGCGTGGCTTCGGGTCTCTTGTATTTGCATGAGGAATGGGAGCAAACTGTAATCCACAGAGATATCAAAGCGGGCAATGTATTACTAGATGCAGAGCTGAACGGTAGGTTAGGCGATTTTGGTCTTGCCAGGTTATATGAGCACGGGATTGCTGCGAGCACTACACGGGTGGTGGGTACGTTGGGTTATCTTGCACCTGAGCTCACACGTACGGGCAAGCCCACGACAATGTCAGACGTGTTTGCGTTCGGCGCGTTGTTACTCGAGGTCGTCTGTGGCAGAAGACCCATCGAGCCTAAAGCGTTACCCGAAGAGCTCATTTTGGTGGACTGGGTGTGGGATCAGTGGAGGACAGGGGCTATACTTGATGTGGTGGATTCGAGATTAAAAGGTGAATATGACGAGATAGAGGCTGTTGTAGTGTTGAAACTGGGATTGATGTGTTCGAACAATGCCCCGGAGTCGCGGCCCACAATGAGGCAGGTGGTGAGACACTTAGAAGGGGAGGTGGCGTTGCCTGAGTCAGTGGCCGCACCAGATGCGGACGATGAGAAAAAGGGCAGCGTCTGCGGCGCTAGCGGCGGGAATTTTGATAATTATGTCCATTCCTATCATTATCCGACGTCTTCATATGTTGAGAAGGTCAGCACGTGGTCATCGATGGTTGATGATGGGGATAATGATCTTGAAGCAGGCTCGGCCTCGCCTCTTTCACATTCCGGTAGTCGGGAAGGCAGGTAGCCGCCGGAGGACCCTACTAATTTTGTTTGTGTCAACATTTTCTGTGATCTGTTTGGCTTCAAGCATTTTTCTGCTTTTGTGCAGTGTACATAATATGCGTATAATCCCCTTTTCAGTTTTTATAATTATACGTGGGATTTTTTTGCTTCCAGTCTAGAGGTCATCAGCATTCATCCTTCTTCTGTTAATACTTTAGTTCGACTCAAGAAATCTTCTTATGCGACCTTCAAGTTTTCCATGCTCGATGTTCATGAACGATAGTGATGATCTAGCGGCTTGTTACGGCTTCTGTGTTTTGCTAAGGCGGTATTGTGAGTTTGATGCGGCGTATTGCCCCTAGAACCTGGAAATTATGGTGAACGTATCCTGAATGGCTGTTATGCTTTGGCTCTTGATGAACTGGTCATCTTGCCGCGCCTGTTCCTGCCGATTTTCCCTTCTGATACTTTGTTAATTGATGACAACAATGAGTAGGCAAAAGAAAACACAAGTTGAGCTTTTCATCTGTTGTATGGCACTTTGGTTAATGGGGATGGATGGCGATGCTCTTGTTATTCTTGAGTGCTGAAAGTTACTTATCCAGCAGAATTGAAGTTGACCCATCTGATAAAGAAGAGAAATCATGTTAAAGCTAAAAAGGCACTACTTGTGCTCCTTATTTTCATCACGAGTTGGTGCACCTGCCAAACCACCCAGATAGTTCTCTCAGCAATTATATTCTATGACAACAACTTTAATCGAGACACAACCCAAGTGAAAGATCAGTTTCCGATACACCGTCCAATAACGATCCCCACGCGTTCAATGCAACTCGGATGGAAGTTCTGTACCATCCTGTCGACTTGGATTTTCCACCAAATAATTTATGGCGAAAATGGAATGCTAACGCAAACATACGGTGTGAAACATTCTGTCGTTTCCGAAGCACCTGTCCTGTACGTTTTCAATCAAAAATGCAAAATAGAATTCTACACTACCTCGTGTTTGCTTCACTCTTCCCGGATGCATCTCAACTAAAACTTCATGGCACATTCCTTATTATGTTGGCCGACCGACCACGACGAATGGGCCAACTGTTTCGTTCAATTATTACACCTTCACAAAAGCAGACTGCAGGTGCATAAAGATAATACATAGAGACAAGGAACAAGTTTAACACGTGAAATGTTTGCTTCTGGTCATCTTGAAGAATCAATTGAGAGCCAGAAGTGGACAGAAGCCAACCTGGAAAAGGACTTGGCTCAAAATTAAAAGAAAAAAGATCGAAAAACGACATGCAAGATGTTTTCGTAATTTATTAGGACATCCATTTGCACATGCCAAGCTACGGCATCATCCAAGGCCACACAAGGAGGGAAAAGAAAAAACCCAAATGGAATTTTCACAGGGAATCCTAGATTATCTGATTTTACAGACTCAGAATGGCACATGGACTCTTCTTGGTAGACAAAGAAAAACTGTCGTTCGGCTTCATTAACTCCATCGAGCATAATAAAGAAACTGCGGAACGTATTTGGGACTGCACACGATTATAACTTAGCAATAATTGCAATAAGACCTTCTTAAAGGTTCTCGTCTTGAAGAAGAAAAGGAAGAATAATAAAGCTCCATTTGTGAACAATGAACTTGAGGAAATCTCAACTCTGCATTACAATTCCGCCTAATAAAACTGATATGCTAATCCGAGTTTATCTTAACCCACATTCATCCAATATATGTCAATCTTTCCCAGCTATCAATAAAAATGTAATGTACAGCTCACTACTTCACTAAAAAGCCTGAATCTAGCATCAGTACATATACAGGTGGTAACAACTTAGACCTTGGTATGCTGCTCCACTAGTTTGCAGCATTGTCCTCAACATTATCGTCTTCTCCATCCTTCGCTCTATTCAAGATTTCATAATCATTGAAACCTGTTTGAGTCATCACAAAGGTTAGACTAAGTACAAAATATTCCAGTACTTTATCAAAAGAAATAGATGTACCTGTATCCAAGTCTTCAGTCTCACCAGTTGCAGCTCCTACAAGCAGCGACCTCGCTGAAGGAGGATCAAGCGCCATCCAATCTGAACTCGAATATTCCTCCACACTCGAATCTTTACCCACAATCCAGTCTTTTACAAGATTTCGGCTTTCAAATGAAATGGGGTCCATGGGACCTCCTCCCACATTGCCGCTGTATGAGAATTAAGAGCTAATCAGTAAGAGTAGATAACCTATTAAACGGGCAGATGTCTTTTCATTTTTTTGTCTATATTGAGCTGTTTTCAACTTAAGCTTTTCCGACCAAGAAAAAAACTTACACTTTCCTCAGCTGCAAGTTGTAGTGGACATAGACCAGGTCACTGAGTCGTTGATGCTCTAAGCAATTCCTCGATTCATGTATTTGGTCAAGAGAGATAAGGTTCCTTTGACTTCCGATTGCACAGCAAGTCTGACTTAGAATTCGCATTGCTAATCGCGTCAAATTTGGGCAACCTCCTCCATATGTCGACCACCATTCAGCTAGGGAAGAAACAAGGCAAATTCTCAGGAATACAAACATCTGATAGTGAATTCGTGAAAACATCTAAAGTTGTATCTATTACAAACAAAAGCCTCCTAGAGACCTGCAAGGACGGCTGAGAGAACCGAACCATGGTTGCTTTATTGGATTGATTGATTCGCATTAACTAGCCATCCGCATAAACATATTTATCAGAAGAGGGTTAACCTTGAATAAACTTCCATCTTTTTCACTAATAACTTGTCTCATGATCCAAAAGCAAAGCCAGGTCTCCGCACCTTTAAGCCCCCCACACACCCAAACAACATGCCCACTGAGTAAAATAAATTCTGAACAAAGAGGCTATAACATCAAGTTGTTAAAGAACTCTCACCAGGAAGTATACTTTCTCTAGCTCTAACCGCCATCTTCCTCCCCAAATCTCCAGCAGCACTTTTGTAGGAATTTATCTCTTTGATAATTTTATCCTGAACTTTTGTATCAGTAACCAATCTCTCTATGCAGTCAAACATCCCTGAAATAATCTCACTGGGTATATCTCCCTCAATGCTATAAAAAAATTTGGGGTTTAGGTAGAATCCTGCCGCATGAAGCGGAAGACTCCAGTGGCGCTCCCAGCGGTGATCTATTATGTCCCAGTAAGCCACATAATCTTCCCTTTTCAGGAGTTCCTTCTTAATTGCTTCTTTTGCCTTGTACATTCCTGCATAAACATATCCCATTGCAGGCCTCTTCCCACTGCTAACAATTTTAAGAAGCCGGATGAGTGAACTTGTTAGACGGGTGATGAGAATGCAAGAGGACCAGAATGATTCGTTATTTGCATAATCTAACAGTTCCAGACCCTCCTTTTTCTTTGCATACGGGCAATCAACCCATTCCTGTGAAGTGACCATGGCCAGCAAATTGGGTTTAAGATCAACCATCCTTTTCAAAGTTGCGAAATTAGTAGCAGAACGACTTCCCGCAATTTCTATTATATCATCACCAAAGGTATACCTTCTCAAAAGATTCAGAACAACAGCATGATTATATATAAACCTTGTGATAGAACGAGCTTGTTCAATAACTGCACTGATCCATTCAAGGTTCTCAAAATCTTTGAGTATCAAATCAATGCACTCAGCTGCACAAGGACTCCAGTACAGAGTAGGGAAGATATCCATCAACTTTTTCCCAGCAACCATGTATTGTTCTTCACCCTTTGTAATCACTTGCAATACATTTTTTACACCTACTTCTTCTACTACCTGCTTGAGCACTTCAACCAAAATATCTGAGGAATGCACGAAATCAGTTGCATCAACAGATTTTAGGAACACTTTTCCTTCTGGTGAGTAGACAAAAAAACTCAGAAATGTTCTGCCCATCTCCGTGGTCAATTGCTCAACCATCAACGAGCAGCCTGTTTTCCCCCAAGCTGCAGTGTGGTTAGTCGTATCATTCTTGACTTCGTCAAGTACAGTCTTCAGAATAGGGCCTCTAAGGTCATTATATGTGGGTGGTAGTACATCTGGTCCACCAGAAGCAATTGCATCAAACATTGGTTGGAAATAAACCGAGTTCACCGCATCTAAAGATGCCCCGATATCATAAAAGAATCGGCCTATTGCTGTATGAATTTCACTATTTACCCTTTTCGTGCTCAAAGCCATGCAACTGAGATTCACGCCTTCGGGAGTTGCAGGAATACTCTTTCCTTTGGCTCTCTTTCTCCTCACGCCACTCTTGTTAACACCACCTTCTTGGTTAATATACGAATTCGAATTTGGGTCGGCACTTTCATTGTGAACCTTGACAAAGTCAAGTGCAGCAGCTCGAATGGGACTCAATGCCTTACCATTGGCATCACTTTGAACGGCAAATGCGTCAATCTCCTCATTAGAAGTTTGCGGATTGATAGTGGAAATGACCTCATCAATCTTCTGCTTTCTCCGCCTCTTCGCGACGACCCCCTCCAAACTCTGCTGCATCTGTTGCCGGACATCCGGCGGGGTTCGCAGGCAAGTGGACGCGTTACCTTTGTGACCCGCGAGATGTTCCTTAATCCTATGAATCCCCCCGCCCTTAAAAAGTTTGCCGCAATACAAACACTTGAGCTGGACTTTATCCCCGCTTTTGTACATTTGGCAATGCTTCCACGCCGGGTCGGTCTTCTGGCGCGTCAGCGCCAGCGGCACGGGGTCCAAACCGGAAGCCATGGCTGGCTGTTCAAACGCTCACAGCAATGTCCATGTTTCCTACCCCGTGGCGGGTTCATGCACAACGTCAAAGCCTCTCTACAACGAGCAGCGAATAACGCAATCAAAACGAGCGATTCAAGCATCCAAATTTTCATAATGTGCTTAACCATATAACGTTAAACAAGCAGAATTCCCCTGAACAACAAAAACCCACGAACAAACAAGGCATTGCATAAAAAATGAAAAAGAATTTCCCGAGTAACTAAGCTTAGAGAGAGAGAGAGAGAGAGAGAGAGAGAGCATACTTGTCGGCGTCGGGCCGTCCGGCGGCCGGCGGGGAGAGAGAGCGGGGGCAGAGAGAGGCGAGAACCGAGTTAATGGCGGTCGAGGGGGAATATATATAAACCGCGAGCGAGTGACCTGACGGACCGGTTAGGGCAGCTGTCAGCCGGTTATCCTTATCGCCTCCTCCAATTTTAGCCCTCCGTTTCGCCTGTTGACCCGGTCAAGTTGCAGGGATCGGGCCGGCTTTCTAGTGGGGGCGGAACCTGGAGCTCCCGGTTACCCGGATCCCGCGGCCGATTCGCGGCCCTGGCCGGCGGTCGGGCTCGATCCAGGTGAACCGGCGATCTCTCTCTCTCTCTCGATCGATCGCTCTCTGAAAGAGCTTCTCTGTTTCAAGACGGCCGACTTTTTTTAGCTGAATCCTCGGGCAATTTCGACGTTCCGACCGGAAAAATCGAACCTTTTCGTCGATTTCCTACTCCGATCGGGACGCGTCTACTTGGGTCTGGACAATTAGGGTTGCGTTTGGCAATTTCCGGAACGAGCGGAAGCTTGATCGGGGCGAGGAATCTGATGATTGGTCGGTGACGGATCAGAGGAGTGGAAAAGATCCGGTTTTGAATTGCTCGGTGATAGGGATGATACTACGTTCTAGGACCGAATCGGATGGAATTGGCGTCGCGCTTTCGATGAAATTAATGATGTTCGATGCGAGGGTGTGACGAGGAGGCGACGCACGCTGATGCCCTAAAAACTCTTCATTTTCATCAACGAAAGCTTGATTTCTGGACCCTTCTGTTTAAAATGGCGAGGAAGCTCGTTCTTTTTCTTGGCTACGAGCGACATCTTTTCCTATTTTTCATGTTATATGTGATTGAAGAAGGGTGAGTGATCGACCTTTTCAATTGAACTGTAACTGTAACTCTTCTTACTCGGCTTAGAAAGACACGGAATTCATAGTAATGAAGATCGTATCATATTGTCCTTCTATCGATTTGATCATCCTTTTCGAGCCGAGAAGAAGGAGAAGAAGATTGTCTCATGAACTTATCGTCGAGAAAAAATTTGCTCGAAACCATCCCGGTTCCGATGCGTCGGTCCCGGATTCCCTAGAGGCAGTCAGCAAAAAATTAAAAGCTAAACGCAACGTCTGTAGCACGTTTCTGTCTTCAAACTCACTCAGCTTTTGGGGGGGAAATCTTGTTGAAAGCATGCATTCGAGTTGCTCCTAAATTCCCGCTGTTCATTTTCAGGACAGGGGCTTACGTCGGTTCAAAATGCCAGGAAGAAGAAAGTCCGAAAGGAATCTCCCAACTGCCATATCTCTAAGCTCGAAGGATCTCAACCCGATCATACTGCAATCCAAAAGGTCAACTGTGTTAAATATTGCTGCATGTTGGCTGGTTCTACAAGCAAAAGAATACCCTATTGGCTAATGGAGGTCTCTGTCGGAGTATCCTAAGAGTGATTCCACATCCACTCATTGTGAAGCTATTTCTTTGTTAAATATTCAAGGTACGCCAAGAATTTTCGACAGCGATTCATGTCCAATGGTTGGATTCGTTTGTGTCCAAACAAGATGGCAGGTCAAACAAGAAGAAAGATCCCCACTTCATATAGCAAGGAGCTTTTCTGTTAAGGACAAGAGTGGCATCTGTTGCGATATATAGCAATAGCAGTTTTCTTTCTCGGGCATTGATGGTGGAAACTCATAAACATGGATCCAACAGTGGAAGGTGGAAACGCAAAGGAAGATGAAGGGTTGGGTTTTGGGCGATCTTTGCCAGCGCCCAGTGTCCAGGAACTGGTGAGGAATGACTCTAATTGGGTTCCCGAGAGATACATTCAAGAACCAAAGTACAGGCCAGTCGGCTCTCTGATCTCCCATAATTCAACTGGGATTCCAGTCATAAACATGTCGCTTCTTGCTCAAGGTGATGCCGATGAACTCCAAAAACTAGACTTCGCTTGCAAGGACTGGGGCTTTTTCCAGGTAGTCAGTCATCTACACCTAAACCATCACTGGTTTTTGGTCCAAAACAACTTTCTGCTTTAATTTCAGTATCACACCAATATCTTGATTAAGAACATAATTATCAGCCCCATGAAAGACACTTTTCTCTCAGTTCTGTGCTTTCCTCGCATAGAATATTTAACAGAATGAGCTTATATTCAATTCCCTGGATTGAACTTGTTGAGCAAAAGATGTGTCGGTACGAGTGGAAGATACATTTCACGGTGTTGATACATGGATTTTCAACGGAGGAGGTGTCTCTTATTCAATCAATTGTACTGGATGCACTCTTAGTTCTCTCCTTTTTGCAGCTGATACTGCAGAAACTTAAAGATCTAATGTGGCAAATCATTGCTTGCAGATAACACATCATAGAGTCGCAGAGGAGGTAACTAGTAATACGAAGACAGCTGTAGCAACATTTTTTGATCTTCCCCAGGAAGAGAAGAAGAAGTATGCAATGGCAGAGAATGATGTGCAAGGATATGGACAAGGCTACATTGTCTCTGAAGAGCAAAAACTCGATTGGTGTGACTTGGCATTCTTGATGACGTACCCAGATAAGCATAAGAGTTTCAAGAAATGGCCTCTTAACTGTACCAGGCTTCAAGTATGTGATCATCTACCTTTTTATCATGACACCAGAAATACCACAATCTGCTTCACAAGCAATCAATATGCTATTCAAGATTGATTTATGATCATATTTCCATAAGAAGAAATGATTTTTCTGCAAATATTTCCAGTTTCTTTGACATTTCCTTTCTCCTGATTCTGCATAGAAATTCAGTTGAGAAGTACTCGACAGAGATAAACAAGTTGGCTGAAGAAGTCTTTGCCCATTTGTCATGGCTGCTGGGGTTAGAGAGAGAGAGCCTCCAAAGGATGCACGGGGAGATCAGACTAGGAACAAGAATGAACTACTACCCAAGTTGCTCCCGGCCCAATCTTGGTGTTGGTGTTAGTCCACACTCTGATGGTAGTTCCTTCACTTTCCTGCCTCAAGATGATGAGATAACTAGCCTCCAGATTAAGCACCACAGAAGATGGGTCCCCGTGAAACCGATTCCAAATGCAATAGTTGTAAACATTGGTGATGTTGTGGACGTAAGTAAATTACAAATTTCATTGACCTCTCGTCCGTTTCCAGATGCTTATTCATGTTATTTAGTCCGTTTAGCCAAGCGCGCTGCATGGTGTTTGAAACCAGCCCGACTGGCAATTGATCAGACCAGTCCTGGAATCTTCCTGTTCAATTGCTTCGTGTTGAACTTCTGTTGCAAGAACCTGACTAGTTCCTTTAGTTGGTGATTACAAACATCCTTGTGACCATCTTAAATTGAATAGGAAATGATGTCCATACTGTGGCCCAAAAGACCATTATCAACCTTTCACTGAAAATAAGAAGGCTGTTGTCGAGTGCCAGTAAATTAGGAAGCCTGTATTTCAGACATGCTCTATCTCGCATAACTCCGGAAAGATATCAATTTTGGAGCATATTAACCTGAATAGATGGGAATGAGTTTTCCTCATCCGAGACACCGAAGGTGTAATCTCTATTAATCCCAAAAAACAAAGATCCGGGAACTTGTAAAGACAAGTTCTGAGCTGTATTTTTTTTCCATGACAAGTTCCGAACTTGAATCAATTGCTTTCAACAACCATGCAACCTTTCAAATATTCAAAATGAAAAAATCTTATATGTTCTATTCCTACTAATTGGCATGCCGGCTTCAAGTACTGCAAGTTTTTAGCATCACATCTGAATTTCCAATGTGTTTGTTTCCGAAAGACTAACTCTCGTTGATTTCACAGAGCTGGAGCAATGGTATGTACAAAAGCATAGAGCACAGAGCTGTCATAAGTGAGAAGAAAGCAAGAATTTCAATCGCAACATTTGTGCTACCAGAGGATGAAACGACAATTGGTCCTGTACCGAGAGGGGTTGCTTCTTGCCAGCCTAAGATGTACAAGAATATCAAGTACGTCGATTACATCAGATGCTCCCTTTCGAGAAAAATGGATGGGAAGGCAAATATAGAGTATCTGAAGGTCTAAACTTCAGGATCATGGCTGAACACCATAATTCATATAAACACTGGCAAATGATTCACATGCATGACACGAATTGCCAAAGCAATCCCTTACGCATTTGCCGTAATTTATGGATCAAATGTGAGATTATTTGTTTTTCCTATCTGTTCCTTGAAGAGGGAGATTATTTGTCCAATGGAGTTTCTAGATCTACTTTTTATCAAATGGACTACATGCCACTTAATGACATCGCCAAGCAACGAGCAATTTAGTTTGCTATAGATCTACGTGCACCGCGACCACATGGAAAGTGCAGATCACATTACTTGTTCCCCTAGGCCTTGATAGTAAAGAGCTTATTACGAACTGACTTGCAAAAGCAAGTTCGGTTTTGATGAACTAAGGTTAAAACAGAAGCAAACAAAGAACCAGACATCATAGTACTCCACTCAAAACTCTAACAGAAAGAGGCCGGGTCTGCGAAAATTGATAAAGAACTTCCAGAAAGCTCAGAAAAAAGAGGACTTAATCGTAGAATATAATTGCAATTATCGAAACAAAATTTCTCTGGAAGCAATACCTCAGAGATAAGCAAATATGCATATAATTAATTCTAGAGACAAAAAATCCATAATGTATAAAAGAAGTTCCATTGAAAGGAAATATTGAAATCCCATACACAAGAAAATTTTTGTCGACTCTGCTAGACAGAGGCTCTCTGCGCTTGGAAACATTTGTACATCCATCAGAGATACACTACTCTTCCCTTTATACACTCTAGAAAGAAACTTGTACAGTAACTCTGTCTCCTCGTCAGATGCGATGCAATGCGATGCGCTCGCTACCTCGGCCTTAGCTCATCATAACTTCTAGTATATCCTCCAAACTAACAAGTTTTACATCTATAAGTACAAAACAAGCAAATTTTTATTTCAGCCAGCTACTGTCTATTTGAATACATAGACAGAGCTATCACTAAGAGTAAAGTTCGAAAAGAGAGAGGTCACTCTATCCTCAGTTAGCTGTACAGCTTTCCTACACTATGCTAAGCTGGGTGTGGATTCTGAATGCTAATCCTCCTTTCTGCAAAGGATCAAGAAGCAAGGTTAAGGTTGCAATTTTCACAGTTCCCTAGGAAATAGAAATACTAAAAGGTTTATAAATTAAATATGAATATGCTTGGACCTCAAATGCATTAAAGCAACTTTCCATGTACTCAAAGTATCATATCAAAAGATTAATGCTCACAATCACATAATAGAACTTGCACGAAGTAAGACCCACAGCTTATAGGGTCGATGACAATGACACCTCATTGACTACATGTGGCAAGAATAATCGAAAATCTTAACTGAGGTAGTGGAGCTAGAAAATAAGATGGCATTCACATCGGAGATCATTCCACTAGAAACAAGTACATCTAAAGCAAAACAGAGAAACAAGTACCTCCAGCCGCGACTAGTTTCTCTACACGTGCAACTATGTGCTTCCCGTAAGTATACTTTTTCAGAGCATTCAAATGTACTTTTATTCGAGTAAGGATCAGTTCCAGTTGCTGGTCATCACAAGTTTCCAGCACTTTTTGTACAACGTAGTTTGCGAACTGATCTTTCATCATCACCTAAATTCAACAAAAAGAAAACATAGAAGAGAATGTTAACAGCACTGTCAAACACTATTAAGAAATGCATTTCAAATAACATAGTTTATTGTAGACATAGGGCTATGATATCCTTACAATGTAATTATCACTCATCAAGTCTATCATATGTTCTGACCAAAAAAAAAAAAAAAGTCTATCATATGTTGCTAACATAACTAGGCCGATCAAACTTGGTCAGAGAAAAAAGCCAATAGCCAAGATGAAGGCAATTGCCAATAGACTCCAACTACCCCAAAGGAAGAAGAACCTTCTATTCTCTGTGTCTCTCGTTATGAACACAATAATTCCAGATGAACTCAACACTAGGCTGATTTTCGCTATGTCAATGCATCAAAGTAAAAACATTTTCAAGTCATTCTAATTTGACGACAACAAACAAAGACCAACATCAATTACTGGCCTTTTTGGACCAAAATATTGGTATTGTCAAGAAAGAAATCACAGTCTATTAAGTGCAACCAATCATTGTCAGATGAGCATCATTCCCTATCCCGACTTGACCTATAGATATGCAGATGGTGTGGTGCACATCAGTATGAACAAACCTGAAGAGGCTCATTCTCATCAGTCGACCCAAGCATCTCATTCACCAGGACCTGGCGCTCTGTGGGAGTTCCAAAAGCCAAACATTTTTCAATGACATTGGAGGCAAACTTTTGCTGACTCATTTGAACTATCTGACCAGTCAGCATCTTTATTATGGCAGAACGCTCATGTGACTTTCCATGCTCTAGAACATGCTGCGACATATACAAGGCATCAAGCACAATCAAAAAAAAAAAATGAAGGAGCAAAATAATAGTTTAGACATGCATGCAAAGAACACAATCAAAGTCTACAATCCACATTAGGAAGCAACTGCAAGGCTCTCTATGTGGGGGCTCCAGTCACCTCAGATTATTTAAGTCCGAGATATGTAAGAGAGAAGCATACTGAGTACTCAACTGCATCTACTAATAATTTACAGGGCAATAAATCATGCAAAGAAGAGTTCTGCCCAGCTAATTAGATCATAGACTGGAATAAATGTAAAGAGAACTCTTTGAACGTAACATATTTCACATCAAAATAACCAGTATTAAGTCACTAACGAATTTTGTCGTTCCGTCTTGCATGCCTCTAAAGTGTAATCAATAAAAAAAGTTTGATGCTCAAATCAATTGGCTGCAATGGACAGCTTTAAGAGATGATCTTCAAAGACATATTACATATTTACTCATTTCAAAGACAGATTTATCTTTCCAACAGCTAATGCCAGAGTGAAAAATGTTAGGCGAAAGACGAAGATGAATAACTAACTTCCTCGCATATAATCTAGTTTGTGTGGTTACTTCTCTGAGTATCTATGATTTCATCCACGATGCAAAAGGCAAGTATGCTTCGTTGTTGGGATAGGTCACACTTAATGTTTAGAGCCTAAAGATGACTGGATTCCCTGGCCACAAACAAATCATCTATGCTAGAGAGGTAATCGAAAACATGTGTAGCAAACCTGCACAACATAATTCCCATACTGATCTTGTGCCAGCATGCAAACTGATTGCAAGATCTCATCCATCATTATGCGTTGAGTTGTTGAATCATGGCAATGCTCTAGGACTCTCTGGCATATTTACATATAATTGTTAGAACAAAAGCTCTTATGTATTTTTGATTGGTCAAGGATGTGTAAACATAGACATTCATATGACATATAAGTGAAAATTTATTCGGACCTGAATGACACGACAACCGTAAGGATGAGTGGACAGTGTTACAACTTGATCGTAGAAGGTGGAGACAATGAAATGAATAGCATCCTCAGGAATACATTCAATACACTTCTGGATGACATGATTCCCATTCTGATCACGGACACAGCGCATAACATGACTGTCAAGCTCCATCACCATCTTAGTCTGCTGGTCCAGTTCAACTACCTCGATAGCCTGAATACTCAAAACAGTTTTAGACCAACCATTTACATTTGAAATCACTCGAACTACATGACTAATCAATATTCTACGATGCCAAATGATCACACAAGTCCATTCATTGCGTTTTATCAGTGAGAGAAGTTGCACAAGAGCCGCCAAGTGGCATATCCAATTAATTCTTCAGAAAGCCACCATTTGAGTCTTTGGGATGTTAGATCTTAGCAGATCAATAAAAAATATGAGGAAGTAGCAACAAAATATACACTGACGGTATCAGATATAGAGATGCAGTGACCCAAAGAAGAAGATACTTTGAGAGAAATAAATAGGAATAAAGTAAATTTTCACCTTCTGGATGACTCGACAACCATACATTTGCAGGCTTAGAGTCAGCACATGCCCATCAAGCTGATCAGCCAGTTCTCTTACTTGTGATGCACTTCCATGCTCGAAAAACTGAACATGTTATTGACAGCATATTAATTAAAATCCGCATATCATCCAATTATGGATCTGAGTAACAACTATCTTCCAAGTCTACCTTTTGAATGACATAATTCCCAAACACATCAGTCATCAATGACAGAGCTCGCGGCATAATCTCATGGAACACCATGTCTTTCTCTGCTGTCGACGCAGTCTCAAGCTTCTGTTGGATGAATCGGCTCCCATACTGATCAGCACTGTCACAAAGGCACCAAGACAAAGTATAAAAAAATAATTTGAAACCTTGACAGTAAAGAGAAAAGGACATGCTAGCATCAACTCATACCTGAACTCAACAACATGACCAGCAATTTCGGAGAGTTCAAAACATCTCGTTTTGTTACCCTTGAACTCGTCAAGCAAAGATGACGAGAAGCTCTCATCCATATTACTTCCGGCTTCTGAGTGCCACGCTCCCATGACTCCCCCACCTAAGTTCCTAAGCCCAGAAGAAAAACGAACATTGCGCTCATCATGCCGGACCGGACTACCACATCCTAGAGGAGAACTTGGAAGGAGGGGACTCCCCAATTGGTTTCCAGGATAAGACATGCCCATATTACATGCAAGATTTCCATAGTAGCCGTGATTAAAACTCCCAGATTTCCCGAGGTAAGGAATACCGTATTGTGATTTTTGTGACGAAAGCAACAAATCAAGGTAAGCTTTCTGGAGTCCCATAAAATCCATATAGGAGTCGCCCATGCCTTCCCTATCCAACAAGGTGGGGTCACCAAGAGCAGCAAGCTGTGCTGCAGCATACTCGTTCGATCTTGAATACTGAAGATATGAGGGGCCCATCAGGGGGAACTGCAAACCATTAACCGTAGCGTGAGCTCCTGCTCTACTAAGATTTTGTAGTTCAGCTGCTGCAGCCATAGAATTTGGCCCCAAAGGCGAACCTCCCCCAAGTGCTCTTGGGTCCAAACCATTCATGCCCAAGGCTGATGCAGCAGCGACATTTTTGAACAAAGGCGGCAGGTTACCACTCCCAAGCTGGCTTGCCATCATGGTTGGTGAAGAGGGATTCATGGCAAGCCCACTTAGGCCATAATTTGGATTAGTAGGACTTGACCTTTCCAAATCGTGATGATTAGACAGTGAGCTCCCTCGGCCATTAAGATATTGAACAGAATGTCCTTTCAAGAACGAGCTCGAAGCAGAAACAGCAGGCTTCTGAAACTCGTTACTGATGTATGATTGTTGCTTGTTTTGGTTCTCATCTTGAAAGTTGTAAAAGTTATTGTGATCACCAAGGTCATGCTGCATTTGTAACTGAGAGAGATTCTTATCATCTGTCATTACATCTGTCGAGAGATTCAAGCCAGATAAAGCGGCAACAAGATCTCCTGTTTCGCCCATATTAGGTGAGACTGAAGAACTCAACAAAATTTGGCCATTAACACTTCTTTTATCCATCGAATTAACCCTCCCAGCTCCAACAGGCGGAATTCGAGGCGTCGGAGCACGGTCAATAATTTGAGGGTCAGGAGTGGCGCTTCTAGACAAGGAGCCACCAACAGCAGAAGCATAAGTATGAGAAGCACGCCCGCCAATACCATGGACAGCAGACATGGTATTTTTATTTGCAGTGGACTGCAGCGAATCCATATGTTCCAATTCATGATGCATTTGAGGAAATTGGACTTCAGGAGCTTCAGTGGTTTCATCAAATGCATTTCGGCTGGCTGGACGAGAAGGGTGGCGAGAGGCCGATGTTGCATAACTCATGTCATCCTGCATATGAAATGTAAGACTTCATCTCAAATGTTGACTCACAAAGATGAAGCAAGACACAAGACATATCTATTTACCATCTCATGTACAGTAAAAGGAGGTGGCATGAAAAGTTACAGGGACATTACACTAAATCAAAGATTTCACATCCATGCTATGAAAAGGAGGAGAACCGTCCAAACATACAAACTTCATCGACATAGGCACTAGTAGTTCGCAGTGAGCTTTGCTACAACTTGCAATTCGTTTACCACGCAAAAAGAATTTTAGCAGCATCGTTTTAGCTTAAAAGCATGAGCTTTTCCTAATCTGGATCCATAGCCTGCCAAAGCGTTAATATGCACAAATGACATGTTCAATTTCGCTAAAGATAAATTACGACAGTGTCTCATTTGTAACATACAACAAGTGCATTTTCAAGCAATAAGCAATGGGAAAATAAGATCAAGCAGGCCAACGCCCCCAATCAGTGAGAGTGATTTAGCTTTTAGCGGTGACAAATCAAGTGTGTGAGCTTCACTATTTCTAGAATCGCCAAGTAACACTTCCGACACTTCCGGCCAAACAAGACGCAGTAAATAACAAACTGCCTGGAAACAATGATATCTTCAATCTCAAGAAATATGCTGTGCACAGTGAGTGCTATAAGATCATCGGATCAGGCCAAACTTTATCATCTTTGCCAACGAAAAAGCACTACGTACCAAATAAAGAAGCAGATAAGGATAAATAGGTCAAAAATCAAACTAAAAACTCGAGCAATAAAGAGAAGAACTAAGTATGAAACTTCCAGTTCCAGGTCTTCATTTCACCTGAATGATCTCTGCAATGCTTTTTTGTCTACTCCCAAACCCCAACCCCGGCAAGCCAATCAACCCATCAACACCCCACTCACTCCTTTGAGCCTCCATTCCACCGTTCTCTTCTCTCTCTCCAGCTCGAACACCACCTCTACTCACTTTCCTCCTATCACCAATCCCTCCAACTCCTCCTCCTCCTCCTCCTCCTCCTACTCCTCCACCACCACCACTCAATCTCTGTGCAGACCTCCAATCTTCCTTAGACAACAAAGGCGGCGGTAGCCTCGGATTCAGATTGACATTAGAATAGTAGTAATTCACATAAGCAGGATCAGCTCTCAGCTCCTCTTCAGACGCAAAACCTTTCCCATCGCTCCTTCTGACATCAAACAATCCTCCGACCGCCGTCAGAGAGCCCTCCACAGTCGGCGGTGCAGACCCACTCCGGTGGATATCGAGCTCTTCAGAGTAATCTGCTCTGTTCTTGAGCATCGATCGCATTGAGATATCAGGCATCATGTTGGGATAAGTATCGGTGATCATGGCATACAGCGGAGGCCAAAAAAAAAAAAATCCAAAAATTTCACCAAAAAGAAATCAACAAAATTATGTAAAGATTGAAGCTTTGAGCTCAGAATCAGCTCAAGATTGTCAAGAATCAAACGGGCCCTGCCTCAAAGCTGAAAAGGAGCTGATTTCTCGATCAAAGAGACAGCACCCATGATCCTGAACTCAAGAAATAAACGTAAAAATCCGATTTTTCCGTCGATGGTATATGCCCTTTAGTGAATTCTTTCATGAACCGGAAGATCAGACAAGAAAATCAACGCAAGCTTTTGGACAGATGACGAGTTAAGCCATACCGAGCGAGCGAGAAGAGAAGAGAGAGAGAGAGAGAGAGAGAGAGACAAGAGTGACGAAGTGGGCAGTGATAAGCATGGGTGGTGGAGAGGCCGGAGCCGTCGGATGCGAGCACGGACGGCCCAGATCGGTTGCAGTTGGATTTGTAGTTAGGAGAGTTGGGGGGTGGTGGCTCTAGGGTTTTTATTTCCATGTATTAAAAATCCGAGATTTGGAGTTAGATTATATGAATCTTTATTTCTATTTACAAGGAGTAAAACAGGCCTTTATTGGGTCCTTTCCATTTATGAAGGATTTTTTGGCTGCGGTTCTTGGGTTTGCTCTATTGCTAGGGCAAAAGAGGGGAGCGTGTGCCCAATTGCGTTCATTTGAGGAAAATTTTCACCATCTCTTTTTCTCTGGACCTCATTTAATTGGGCAATCGTTGTTCACGTGTGTTTCTTATCCTTGCATGTGCATTTTCCCTCTTTTTACCTGGATTTTTCTCTTTACGAAAAAACAAAAAAGAGAGGAGTTCTGGAGTTTTTATTTCCTATATTAGCTAATTTTCCATCGTTGCACTTGATTTTATTCAGATCGATTTCTTGATAAAAATTGGGTATGTATTTTGTGTATTTAGGGTGCTAAAGGCATTACTCGTGAGAGCCATGACTTTCGTGTACAAGTCGGGGATAAATTCAATGTTGCACTTGATGGATGGATTGTCTTTCGCTTCTTAATCAAATAAGCATACTAATGTAAAAGGGGAAAAAAAACTAATTAAAATGGACAAGAGCCAAAACTTGATTTAAAAAATGGAAAATACCATCAAAAAGTCCAAATTATGCCAATTGTGACAAATTTACCCTAAACTTTTTTTTGTAACACAAAAAACCAAAAACTGTCACTTGTGACAAATTTACCTAGAACTTTTTTTTTTACACGAAAAACCCCAAATTATATCACATGTGACATATTTACCCTATAATACTTTGGCCTATGAGCATTTTTATCTTTTTCCTTTTTCTATATTTTTTTTCTTTTTTTCTCTCTTCCCTAGCAAGGGCTGCCTTTGCCGGATCCAGCGAGGGCAACCCTCGCCTGAGTCGGGCGAAGTCGCCCTCGCCAGATCCGGCGAGGGCCGCCCTCGCCCGACACCGGATCTGGCGAGGGCGACCCTCACCCGACTTAGGCAAGGGTGACCCTCGCCCGACGCCGGCGAGGGTTGCCCTCGCTGGATCCGGCGAAGGTAGCCCTCGCGGGGGAACAGAGAAAAAAAGAAAAAAATATATAGAAAAAGAAGAAAGACGAAAATGTCCATGGGTCAAAGTATTGTGGGGTAAATGTGTTACAGGTGGCATAATTTGGGGTTTTTTGTGTCACAAAAAAAAGTTCAGGGTAAATTTGTCACAAGCGATATAGTTTGAGATTTTTCGTGTCACAAGTGACATAGTTTGGGGTTTTTGGTGGTATTTTCCCTTTAAAAAATCTAAAACTCTCGACGTTTTCGTAAATTTGGAGGTTATTTCCTGTACCAAAATACAAGTTATGGTACTAATCAGTTCTCTTTTCTTTTCCCTTAATTTATGAAATTTCTCAAAAAGAATGTCTGAATTTTGATTTCTTCGGCCGAGACTTAACTAATTGACGAAATTATTGATTTCAAGAGATGCGTTTCCATTAGCCATCATCATACCTTTTCAGAGTGCAGCTAAAACCCATTTTGATTATATTTTTCTCGACATCTTTATGATCAAAGGATGTTATAAAAGGCGGCCATAAAATTCAAGTTGATTATTGATCGAAATCAATTTTCGAAATCGTCACTTTACTACTTCATTAGCTTTTCTTTTCCGAATTTTTAATCTCAATAATAGCCAGCACTCAACCATCGCCTGTTATTTTAATTATGATTTCACAATTCATCGGGGCGTAATACGAAGTTGAATGAGGAAAAAGACGAGGGAAAAATCCAAACTCTCGATATATCCTTCTCCAATTGCAGTAGCTAATATGCTTGGAAAGGACAAGAAAAAAAAATTCAATAAATTATTTTTTTACTCGATGCGCCGAATACTTCCATTTTCGTATTTAGACAGTACTTGTAATATTTTCCGGAAATATAGGGGAAACTCGTGACCAATAATAATTTCGCCAAAAAAAGAAAATTATATGCTTCAAAAAAGAGAAAAAGAGAGAGAGAGAGAATCTAATCTATGGGCTCGGGCATCGAAAACCTGAAAAATCGCAAGATCGGAACCCCCCCGGGCAAGAGTTTAGGGGCCCACGCGCCCGAGGCAAGGGCGGGCCAACCGGAATCGGACGCGTGTCCTTCGACATGTTGCCCTCCGGTCTTTGGGGGGGGCGGGGCGCGGGGGGTCCCACCCACGCTTTTTGACCGCGCGTCGGGCGAGGATCTCTTTCTCTTCCTCTTTTTCGACGGCCTCGACGTCGAATGATAAAACCCCACACACACACACACACACATATCTCCTCCTTGTATTTTCCTTAAAAATGATGATGCCACATATATCATGTATGTTCTCTCTTTTGCCCCTTTTTCTTTTTTATATTTCATTTTATGTTTTGCGGAGGCGGCAGCGGATGACGTGTTATTTTTATTGCGGGATTTTTTTATTTATTTAGTGAGCGTGGTACATGCACTGAAGTGCTTATGAGCCGACCAAAGTAGCGTGATTGCATGGACAATGAGCACGATATTCCCGATAAAGAAAGCCATCTCATTTCATTCGACATTGGATAATTTCATCAGTAGAAACTCCCGCGTTCGGAAATGAAAATAGGTGGAAAATTCAGTTAGATATTAATTATTTCTCGAGTAGACGTGCCGTCGATATGATGTTGGGTTCGGCGAAATTTCTAGCGCCAGCGATGAAAGCGGAACTAACATATTTGCGATTGACTCGCCAATGCAGAAGAGGAGGTGAAAAAAGATGATGTTCTTTTATTAATACAAAAACAAAGGTATCCAATCGAACATGCAAAAAAGAAAAGATTTCTAGTCATGCTATTGAAAATATATTTCGAATTTGAGCACATAAATGAAACTTTCCGAATTTAAATAAGTTTATTAATTGGAGTTAGTTTGCTATTTGAGTGGTTACATAGTTCAAGTAGGTTTCCTGTTTTGGATCTAACTCTTGTCTGTATATAAGAAGCGTCTTCTTTGTGAAGAGCATCAAAGAGTCTACTTTTTCGCAATATACACACTGAAGCAAGAGTGTTGAAACCAATAAATCTTGTAAAAAGATTTGTTTAATTCTTCCGTGAGATAAAGAGATTATTTCGTAAACAATTATGAAGGCTAAACATTATTTGAGTCGTTGGATGTAATTAAGGCTGGGAAACACTAAGTATTTGAGTGATTCAAATGTTGTTGTAATCTCCATTGTATTGTTTGATCTATAGTGAAATTATTTGTTGCTCTTTTCGTTGATATAGGTCACACTAATCGAATCATGTAAAATTGGGGTCCAATTTGTTTTCTTGTTTGGTTTATTCTATTGTTTGATCGCTTGCTTCCACGACATATATAGTATTAATATATTATATTAATCGTGTCGTTATTTTCAATACGTGATAATAATTTGTAATATGTGTTAATAAACTTTAGACAAGCAACAAGTTGTCTAGCTGGTTCCTAAGTTTTTCTTTTCTCACGTAAATCCTTAGTCAATATTGGTAATTGATTAATTCATTAAGCACTTCTCCAGAAATATCAGTAAATTATGTTCGACGTACTAATGACTGTACCACGAAATGGTGAATTTTGATTCTACATTGCAAGGCTCGTGCACGACTGCATGATGTGGTGGTATAAATCATATGTAGATCCTACGTGACGTTTAGAGATTCCGCAGGTTAGTAAATCGACAAAGACGATAGTAATTCCCGATAATTGTAAGCAACTTTTTGAAACATTTTGTGGACATATTAGAACACCAACTAGGGCACATGGTACAAAGTGAATGAAACCTATGTCAACATGAACATATCTATGCACAAGATTGTCCTCGCTCGAGAGATTAGTCAAAAGAAAACATGTGCTCGAGCGATTTATCTCCTAGAGAAGTTGACTTGGTCATTTTTCTCTTGGTTAGGTCACCGAGACACAGACCCCACGCCCAATCAAATGACCCGAGACTCATTTTTCTTTCCCTCACTTAAATATCAAGGTGACTTTAATTACAGATACTAGCGTTGTCAAGTTCATAAAAACGAATAATTTCCGAAATTTGGCTAAATATGCAATATAATCCCTAAATTTTTAATTTGTTCAATATGATCATTAAATCTTGACCTAATAGGTAATGTTTTAATGTGGTCTCTGAACTTTTAGTATATGTTCAAACTGGTCTCTATACTACATGAATATATTCGATGTTGTCCCTAAACTTAAATTAATGGAAGGATAACATTGAACATTTTTATATATTTCATGAACTAGTTTGAACATGTACCAAAAGTTTAAGAACCATATCGAACAAATTAAAAATTCAGGGATCACATTGCACGTTGAACTAAAATTCAAGGATCGCATTAAACAAAATTAAAAGATTAGGGATTACATTGCAAATTTGGTCAAAATTTAGGGATCATTTATATCATTTTCCCAAAACAGAACTCGAGAGGTTTCTCTAGAAGATAATGCAACGATTCTTGATTAAGGCACTCAGATCATCTCGAGTAATGTCCGAAAAAACAGGCTAACATCCGTTTATCTGCGCGGAGCTTATCCTATCTCATCGACCCATTTCAAAGATACATCCGGGATACGAAAAGGGTCACGGTCACGATGTTTCCGCCTTAATCTCATCAAAGTAGCCGGAAAATTATTAATTAAGGCGGAATCGGAAAGCTGCGGCCTCGCCAGCATCCGCGAAAGTAAACAAAGCCGTGAGCAGTGTCATTAGGACCCATAAAGAAGCGGACCGCCCCTGTTCATCTTTCGATACCACAGCCGAAGAAATCGGAGGCTTATTCATTTTTACATGCTGCTGCACATTCCCTTTCATTAAGCTCAATATAAGAAAGTATTCTAAAAAGATGCTTGCTTTCATTATTGCGATTATGTCAGCTCCTTTCTCGTATTGTACGTTGTTTTGATTAGGGTTAGGTGGAACAGTGGAATAAGGATGGTTTCAAGGCAGCAGAGAGACACGTGAAGCTCTTCACTCGCGAGGTGAATGGTGCTCCTGCGGGTCACGTGACATGTTCCACATCTAATTTTAAAGAAATGGTTAAAGTTCATTCCTATATAATTATTTTTTATTTTATTATTTTGATAAAATAATTCGTAAAAAAACAAGGTGGTCATGTGTTCTGAGATTTGTGATTCTATGCTGTGTTGCCTACACAATAAATATCTTAGCATAAAAACAAATTAATCGGCCTACTACACATCATGTGGTCCGTGTTAGGAATCGTTTTATATCTAACCGAGAATAGTAATACAAACTCAAAAATCAGTTAAATTTAATAATTAGAGTATAGAATCATACCAGGGTATGTCTCGGATTGCAAGGTTTAAGTGTTAATTGCATGGCTCACTGCATATTCTCGGTGTACCCGGAGAAAACTTTGAGAATATTGAAGAAGGGGAGTTACTTTAAATTTTCACGAATATCAATGAAACATGCTGTTGAATTTTAATTTTTTGGGTCAAACATTGAATTTTAAGTTTGACAGGGAGAAAATATTGGGTAGAGCTTACTTGTCAAGTCAACAGTAAACCACTCCCCACTCATCGACACGTGTCCAGTAGGACCCACGCATTTCCGATTTTTCAGAAATCCTTTTCCCACTTGCCTTCTCTTTTCCATGAGCACCCGCCGCCTTCATCTTTCACATCCTTGACAAAACAGCCAGATAAACTCCACTCGGGGTGAGGGAGAGGCCTGAGCTGGGGCCGTGCGAGCGGCGGGAGAAGACCTTGGAGCAAGAGCTGGTGGACTTGCGGACTGTGATGTGGACCTTGCCGTCATCGCCGACCTCGGCCTCGGTCTGGAGGGGCTGCACGTCGTCGAGGGAGATGAGGTCAGAGTCGACGCGCGGAAGGAGATGATGGAGGCGACGATGTCGGGGGATTGCTCGGCGATGAGGAGCCTCACGCCTCTGTTCCGGATGATGCAATGGAGGATGACAATCTGGACCATGAGGCTGCCGGAGGCGGAGCCGTACATGCCTTTCAGTAAGGGGACGCGCGCCCATGCTGAGGGTGTAGGGGAAGGTGGAGAAGGAGAAGAAGGTGATGGGCCACTCCAGGTAGTCATGGCGGCTGGCTCGGGACCAGACGGTAAGGGCGGCGAGGATGATGAGCTTCTGGAGGATGTCGGCGGCAATGAAGGCGAGGGGTGTCGATCACCGAATGGAGTGGTTTATTATTGACTTGGCAAGTAAGGCCTACCCCATATTTTCTCCAAAGGTAGAGGGTAGGTCGACTTTCTCCGGGAGGCAAAAGAATGAATGGAAGGAGCAAATTCCTCACCTTAATCCCGTTTGGCAAATACAGCCGAGCCACACTCTCCGGAATCATCGGTTTCCCTCAGTGGGCTGGGAGTGCGCGGCTTATCGATTCATCCGATAAACTGTCGGGGGCTCATGTAACCCATGCAAGCATTCCGCACCTTCGCTAAACTGTCTATTTTACCGAGCATATCTCCGAGACAATATCGTCTCGTTACTCTTTTATGTGACTTCCAACTTCAATTGGACCGGTTTTCAAAGAAAGAACAGATCTTCCGATCGCTTAGCCCGAGGCCCCGAGGCGAAACCGAATCAGCGGTGATGGAACGAAAACATGAAAACTAACAGGCAAACACGGTCTCTTTCTGGACTGGGCTTTGTAGTTCGTAATTTGGGTCAGGCTTAGTGAATATGACTGTAGTACAAATCCCATGTTTGAACCAAAAGCACACCTTTCCAATTGTGATCCAATCTCCGCAAGAATCGATTTTACAGTGAGATGCCACGGGCCTACGGCGTTACTCTCCATGAAAGTAGGTCTTCCACTGCCGCTGCACAGTGCGCACACGTTATCGAGTCTACCTCTCGACGAACGTTGACCGTCATTTTCAGTCCAAGACCAAGTCAAGGTCTCGAGCAGCCAATCTTGAACTCATTTTTTTTCCTCCAGTGAAGTATATGCAGATATATTTTTTCGCTCGATCAAGGGAGTCGAATTGAGTTAGCACTCGCGACCCTCGGTTGTGAGCGAATACCTGTGCCATGATGAAGTCTCTCGCCGGAGCAAAAGCCAACGTCGCGATCATTAGCTTCCTCTTGTTAGCGACGTTGACGCCGCTCTCCATTCCGGAGCAGGACGATGTCCAGTGCCTCCAAGGCACCAAGAAGGCACTCGCAGACCCTGGAGGGAGGCTAAGCTCCTGGAACTTCGCCGCCGTCGCCACCACCAACGCCTCTGCCATCTGTGACTTCGACGGTGTGACATGCTGGGGAGGCAACTCCTCGAGGGTGATCAGTCTCCAACTCGAGAACCTCGAGCTGAGCGGCCCCATCCCTGAGTCGCTTCAGTTCTGCCGAAGCCTACAAGCGCTGAGCCTCGCCGGCAACAACATCTCCGGGACGATCCCCCCTCGAATCTGTGGCTGGTTACCCTATTTGGTCAGACTCGATCTCTCCGGCAATGGCCTCGAGGGCTCCCTGCCAAGTGAGCTCGCCAACTGCACTTTCTTGAACAATCTTGAATTGTCGGACAACAAACTCTCGGGGACCATACCGCCGGAGCTTGCCAAGCTGCAGCGGCTGAAGACGTTCTCCATTGCCGGAAATGATCTTAATGGGGAGATTCCACCCTCGTTCGCCGGGTTCAACGCCGCAGGATTTTCAGGGAACAGAGGGTTGTGCGGGACACCTCTTGGCCGGTGTGGAGGAGGGCAGAAAAAGATGGCGGTGATCGTGGGGGCCGGCGTGTCCGGTGCCGTTGCGTCATTGGCGGTGAGCTTCGGGCTCTTGTGGTGGTGCGAACGAAGAAGCATTCGTCTAACCAGAGGCAGCACCGGCGACGGCAGAGGGACTAAGGGGGTTGCTCAAAGATGATGAACCGCTTTCTACATATCGTCATCATGTCCTGTGGTCATCCGGTCTTCCATAGTACGTTAAGAACACCATCGACCTTAAAGAGAATGTCAACGAACGGACAAGATTATTGCTGTACGTAATTCTTGAATAACACATATTTACTTGAGACATCTTACGTTTCAGGATGTGAATCTGGAGCACATGATGCTCCTGGAGTTGGGTGCGCAACGACCCAGTTTTGAGTGCTTAAACCGGTTGAGAATATGACACCTGCATGTAAGGATAGGTTGGTCTACTTTAGGTGCAGTAATTGCTGATTTTAATTTATATAGCTTATGGTAATACATATCAAAATAGGTCATAGACTTGTTTGTTAACCCATATTTGATGGGTTGGGTTATTATATATGTTAGTTATATTCAGTAAATGAGTTATAAATGGGTTTAATATATGTGTTAAATGGGTTTACAACTTACTTAGACCCAACTCACCTCCATGACTCTTTCTTCACTTTCTGTCCCTCTCGCTCATTCCGTGTTTTCACCTTAGCCTGGGTATAAGTTTTCCCAAATTGTGTTAAATATATAAGTGTTTTAGCAATATGGGACGAGTTGGGTATAGGTCACTAGATTTCTATTACATGGAAATTGGTCAAAACGAGTTAAATTTGTCAATTTAGGTCGGACCATTTTCGACCCGACCCACTTATTTGACAAGTCTGCTTATGATAGATATATAAGGGCGAGAGTCATCAATTAACATGGCCAAATTGAAGGTGGTGATAATCTAATCTTGATCGAAGAAGCATTTGGCCATCGATCTATATTGTAAAGCATCGATGTCGGGGCATTTCCAAGATCAAATGACAGATACAAAAATGTAGCAGAGGAATGGCAATAAATCTATAAAACACAAATCATGAAACCGAACAACTCGACAATGTTGTTCATGTTGAAGTTGCATCTGGGCTATGTAGGATCAGTGAATGGCAAATTTTGCCGGCGGGGCGTCCGTCCATGTTATATTATTAGGGTCGGGCCGTGATGAATCTGGGCTCGACCAGAAAAGGAGTTTGCGTACGGGTCCAATTTGTCCCCTTAAATTTGCTAGGAGTTCAAAGAGGAAAATTATGAGTTGCGACCGGTACATATGCCCCGCTACATATGATATAATGAATAGCATACATCGGCCTACTGCCCCGGGTGCAAGCGATAATGTGTCGTTCGAACGGTATAAGTTGTCGGCCCACTATTGGTTCTTTGTTTGCTTGGGACTAGATCCTCCGCGATTCTCAATATTGGTAAGGGCAAGCGTGTTCGTCTTTTTTTCCTCGACCCTGTTCAAATTACCATTGCCCGCTTCCTCGAGATTATCTTAAAATCATAGGCTTGCCTACTCACCCTCTATGCATAGGACGGGATAGATTGACTTATCTAATGACGACTACTCGTGCCCTTAAAGAATGATTCTCGCTCGATTAACCACGTAGATGGCTCAGAGTAATGGGGAGCCTAAATATTCGCGACGCGTACATAAAATAAGTACATTGAAACTTTTCCATCGGTGTACGTATTCATGTGCTCGACAAGGTCGATGCCGCGACCACGACTGAAAAGTTAGCTCCACTTTTGAAGCTTAGCTCCAAACGCAATCAATTTACTTTCCTTGCTCATTTCAAACCAAACATCACCTAAGTTGGACAGTATTAGCACCATTTCTTATTCCAATGTGGATAAGACCGGGCAGAGATTGATATGCTCCAAAAGATGCCTAGCACATAAGAGGGTTCACCAATAAATCTAATTGGCGAACAATTTTTTGACCCACCGCTACCCTGAAATTTATGTCCACCAAGCTTACTTCGACACTCCACCATATTATGTATTTGATATAATTCAGATTATTTGTTAACCTACCCAAATGTTGACGGTAAGTCGTGTGAGATTAGCTTTATAAAGCCTTTTTGTCGATCATTAATCCTCTTAAAATGCACGATGCGTGATTAGCCATTTGAATGTCCGTAGAGATTTGTCTTTTTTCTTTTCAACATTTCTTTTAGCAAAATAAGAGTTGTCCAAAAAATTCTACTACTTTGCCCATCAAAGAAATTTGTAAATTTTTATCCATGAGGAAGTTGCAATGTCTCAATCTCAATGTGTAATATCGATCTCACTTGGATGCATTAGTTTCGCTTTCTCCCGATTGATCGGAAGAAATGCGTATAGAGCATGAATAGGCACATGTATTGAAAGTTCGACCTTACTCGTATAATATAAATGAAATTTATTAGTAAATGTCGTAGTGGCACTTATTAAATATCAATATTAAGAAGTTAAATAAGGCATTGGCAATATTCGTGTTATGTGTAATGAATACATTAAGGAATGTATCATTTATTATTGAACATGCTTAAGAAGTCTTGCAAGCAACGAGAGCATTTACTATACTTGTTCAATGATAAAGAATGTTTTGATATTTAAAATATCACTTACACATTATGCGAGCTAAAATCATACATCCAAAGTAACACACACACAATAAAAACAAAAGATGTTAATGCGACAGCTGGGTATAAATGTGCAATTTATATGTACTTTGAGGTCTTTTTGTAATTATGTTTCTATCTGTACTCTTACTGTAAGCAGCCACTATTATAAATACATATCATGCAATCTTAATTGGGGTCGAGCCACCGTGAGCATGGTCTGGGTTGGGTCCAGCACCCAATCCAAGGACTAACCCGCACAGTGTTAATCCCCAGTTTTTGGGATTGGGGACCGACCCTGTTGAGCTTAAGGAGGACTGGACCGACCCTGTGGGTACGGTCTGGTTCTAGGGTCAACCTAGGACCAATCGATTCTTTTTTTATTTCATTTGTTGATTCCTTGAAAGAAAAACGTACTCTTTGAAATTATATATCCATTGACAATGCGATATTGAGCAACCAAATTGTGAACACCGGTACAAATCAAACAGAAATCTAAGATAAGGCAACGATAGAAATCTCCACTTGCCAAAAGCAACAAACCATAGGAGATGGACAAATGAAATAAAATTAAAGAATAAAAAGTTCAAAATGCGTAACATAAATCATGAAATATACAACTTTGTATCTTGTTCATTCTTAAAAGATTGCTTCAAATTCTGAGTTGAGCTGTGTTTGTGAGGCAAGCAAGGAAAGGTCATAGATCTAGCGAAGGGAGGTGAGTGAAGAGAGGCAACAAAGTTTTTATTTTAAACGGCCTAGATATTCTACTATTTTCATCATTAATTATTTACATCCATCCCATTAAAGAGAACTCCTCATCCTTAATGTTGCTTAACACCCCTCCAAAACTCCTCCATCATCTTTATGCTTTACCCCAAGCCCCAAGAAAGAAAAGTACAAAGACGACATCCGTTACGGAAAACTCACAACATTAAATCCCACCGATTCTTTCGGACAAAGTCACCATCTCTAGGTTGAACCAACCCTAAAGCCTTAGAACCAGGGACCAACTCGCATAGTGTCGGTTCTAGGGATCCCAGGACTAGGGACCGGCCCACTCCCCCTAGGAAGCAGACTAGGACCAGCTGGGTTGGGCTAGTCCAGGGTTAGTCCAAGGTTGATTCTGGATCGATGCTCACCCCTACGTATAATGATGTTTAACTTAGGCTCTATTTGTTTCGTGGAAAATGTAACATTTTTTGAAAATGCTTTTCAGGAAAAAGAACATATTTTACAGTGTTTGGCTGAAAACTTGAAAAATGAGCTGGAAATATTCTTAGTCTTTCGATAAGGGAAACTTGCTTTGATTTTCCTATATGGACATGCACTGTGTGATATAAGGGATATACATTGTAATGACCCGGTCTGACGAGGGCGGGGAGTGGTCGCCAGGCCAGAGGGCCTAAACAAGGAGCGGCTCTTAGCAGGCTTTTAGGATGACGAGGAGGGTAGAAATGAACTGAACTGTGCACCAAATAGAGAGAGAGAGAGAGCGATTCTGAAACATATATATGAAAACTTGAATTAACTCACGGAGGCGTTTTTTGACGTAAATGTAATACTTAGCTTTGGAAATCCATAGCTAAATGTGCTCAGGTGGGAGCACTCCCAAGATGGGTGACCTCGTGGGAATGTGCCCACCTGTACGCCAAAGAACAAAATCGTGAGGCTCGGTATGGGACGAGCCAAAATGAACAATACCTCAATAAGTTAATCAATAGATGTCACAATATGGTATCAGAGCGGAACCCCCTCCAGTAGGTGTGTAATTCGAGGATGAACCACGCGGAAGCTAGTAGGCCTATAATGACTCGGTCCAACGAGAGTGAGGAGTGGTCACTGTGGCCAGAGAGTTTGGACAAGGAGCTACTCTTGGCAAGCTTCTAGAATGGCGAAATGGGGTAGAATGAACTGAACTATGCACCAAACAGGGGGAGAGCGATTCTAAGATATGTGTGTGAAAACTAGAATTTACTCATGGAAGCACTTTTGATGTAATGATAATGCTTAGATTTGGAACTCCAAAGTTAAGCGTGCTTAGGTGTGAGCATTCCCAGGATGGGTGATCTCCTGGGAAGGTACCCACCTATATGCAAAGGACAAAATCATGAGACTCGATATCAGTTGGGGTTAAAGCGGAGAATACTTTAATAAGTTAATTTAGAGATGTCACATGCATGCTATATCATCAAATTATTTTTCCGGTGCCAAGGAGGCCTTGGCCTTGGGGGACATAGCCTGGCCACTAGGATTCCTAAGCCCAACCGTCAGGTCTCAGTCGCAAAAGGTAAGATTTCTCAGACCTAGCCACTAGGAACCTGAGCATAGGAGTCGAGTACCTAAGCCGGGCTCTAATGCCGATAACTAAGGGGCAGGAGCCGAGTACATGATAAATTCTCTACCTTCACTAGAAAACATGTTGGCCACATTTGATACAAGATTGGTCAGTCGTGTTACATATAATGACCGGCGCTGATTAGATCGCCACGTTAGCGATTTTCAAAATTGGCCAAAAGGACTAAATTGGCAAATTATTAAAAGGTTTAGGATTAAATTAGAAAATCATTAAAAGTTTTAGGACTAAATTGGCACAATTGAAAGGTTTATGATTGAATTGACCGTTATATAATAGGTAAGGGACTTCTTGGACAATTTTCCAAAGACAGAACTGCATTAGACATGGGAAAATTACTCAAAGATGAGGGAGTAGAAAGCGACCTGATCTGGAATTCGGACCTTAGAGAATCAATGGACGCGAAACTTTAGCAAGTTGTTCAACGATTGACTTGGGACTGTGAACGATGACTGAAAGCGAGAATGACAACGGGGCACCCCCTATGCTTTGCTATCTAGAAGAGAAGCGTGAGGCGGCAGAGGAGGAGGAGCAACTCTAGAGATGAGGGACGAGGCATAGAAGCCAGGAGCAGCTCTGGAGACGAGGGACGAGACAAAAAAGCCATAGATTGCGTGAGAAAGATGGAGGAAAGGAGCATTTTTGGAGACGAGGGATGAGGTAAAAAAAAGCCTTAGGTCGCATGAAGAAGATGGGAAAATGATTTCCATTTCTCAGAAAGGGGAAGTCATTGTCCCCAGTTTTAGAAAATTATTTTTTGTTCACCAAAAATGTTTTCCCTGACCGCTCGAATTTTCATGTCCCAAACACCAGTAATTTTGAAAAACATTTTCTTGAAAAACATTTTAATGAAAAACAAGCACAGCCTTAGTTATAGTCTATAGTCGAGCAACGATGATACTATTGACCTATTGGCACTAATTAGACAAGCTAAAAACCTTGTTACAATGAATTTTCTAGAAATTCATGGCAAATGGAGTTCGATAGAACTCGGCAACAAGAGGATGCGATCCGAACCCGATTTGAATCGTTCACGCATTGCTCAAGTTACCCTAATAGTTACCGTAAACAGACACAATTTTAGGTTGCACGAGCGCACATGGACACGAAGCAAGAAGAATTTGTCAGCGCAAGCAGACAAAGTTGTTGGGGTTAAGTAATCGATCGTTTTAGCCCAAACGTGGCGTACAATCTTCCTGTTTGGTGATTGCCCATGTGAAACTGCAAAGATTTACGCACGACAGCTTATGAGAGAAGTATATAAATTGGTGGTTGTGATTGGATAAACTGCCTTTCATTCGGACGTTAGACGCAAGTCAATGGTACGTTCACCCTCATGACCTTATAACCCCTAAAAACCCTTTGTTTCCCATCATCATCGCATACCAAGAAAACCAACATCTTATCAATCGAAAGATCCAATATGTTTGAGAGGAGGGATACGGGGGAGTGGAATCCCGCGATGGAGGAGGAGTCGTCATCGTCGGTGGTGTCGGAGTTTGAGGGGACTCTGTTGAAGGACCCGGACCTGTTCTCCTACTTCATGTTGATGGCGTTCGAAGCGTCCAACTTGCTACGTTTTGCTCTGTTGCTGTTGCTATGGCCCGTGATCTGCTGCCTCAACGCGTTTGGGATGGAAGATTACGGGTTGAAGCTCATGATCTTTGTCGCCCTAGCGGGGGTTCCGGAATCCGAGATCAAAGCGGTGTCTAGAGCCGTTTTGCCGAAGTTTTTCATGGACGATTTGAATGGTGATGCCTGGAGAGAGTTCAGCGCCTGCGAGAAGAGGGTGGTGGTGACCAGGATGCCCGGAGTGATGGTGGAGAGGTTTGCGATGGAGCATTTGAGGGCTGACGAAGTTATCGGAAGCGAGCTCGTCGTGAACCGATTTGGGTATGCTACGGGTTTTGTTGAGGGCGGCGATGGCACCGCTTTCGGCCGCGTTGACAAGCTCTTTGGTGATGACGAAAGGCCTTCTAAAGGGCTAGGAAGGCCTGGCCTTTCATTTCTCTCTCTTTGCAAGGTCTGTACACTACTCCCTAACTGCTTCACACCTCGTTTCGTGCAAGTTCTTAACACAGATATTGATTCGGTCCACCACATCATTCTTAAGCAAGAGTTTGCCCATTATTTTTCTTATGTTCCATGTGCTATAGGTTTCATCTAATTAGACCACGCAGTTTGATGATATCAACATGTCCCGTCCATGTCTAAATTCATATGCATCACTTGATCGAGAAATCATTGTCTGTATATCGAGGACGAACTTGTAAACTAGCTTGGACACGTTCGCTCAGGATTCATGGACAATCAGGTTTGCTCTTTGCTTACAGGAACAAAAGCAACCACCCTTCGCCGAAAAGCATTGTAACCTAGAGCCTCCCGAGCCGCTCAAGGTGATCTTCCACGACGGCAGGCTTGCCAAACGCCCTACCCCGTTGATGGCCTTCTTGACCCTCGTTTGGATGCCCTTTGGGATAGTACTAGCTTTCATCCGCATCGTTGTGGGCTTGAGCTTGCCTATCGGCGTCATCCCGATCATCGCGCCGATATTGGGAGGTAGAGTCATCATCAAAGGAAAACCACCGCCCCCCGTTTCCCGAGACAATGCCACTGGCGTCTTGTTTGTTTGCACTCACCGCACCCTGATGGACCCCGTGGTCCTCTCCACTGCTCTTGGCCGCAGGATCCCGGCAGTTATCTATTCCCTCTCAAAGCTATCAGAGATTTTGTCGCCGATACCTACAATCCGCTTAACCCGAACCCGCGAAGCAGACAGAGAGATGATCAAGGACCAACTATCAAAAGGCGATTTAGCGGTGTGCCCCGAAGGGACAACATGCCGAGAACCGTTCCTCCTGAGGTTCAGTGCGCTATTTGCCGAGTTAACCGATCGGATAGTGCCTGTCGCGATGAACTATAGAGTCGGGCTGTTTCACGCGACAACAGCTAGAGGATGGAAGGCCATGGACCCCATCTTCTTCATGATGAACCCTAGACCCATCTACGAGGTGACCTTCTTGAACCAGCTGCCAGCTGAGGCAACCTGTTCATCCGGAAAGAGCCCGATTGACGTCGCCAACTACGTGCAGAGGCTCTTGGGGACCACGCTAGGATTCGAGTGTACCAACTTGACTCGAAAGGACAAGTACAGGGTTCTTGCCGGGAACGACGGAACTGTGTCGGCGTCGTCGCACGCTTCGTTGTTCGATCGCGTCAAGAGAGTCGTGAGCACGTTCGAGCCCTTTATTCACTGAGATTGACGGAGATCGCAATAAGACTGATCGACGGTTACAACTATTACGTAATATTCTCCAGGACGCTCTGGAATCTTTCTTTGGTTTTAGAAACAACATAGGTCTGCATTCTTTCTCTTCACTTCCTTTTCCTTTGTTTGTTTTGTCGGGAGATTATTATTTAAGGATCTGTAAACACTAAGCAAATGTATGGAGAGTTGTTACCATCAATTGTGAGCTAGTCCTGTTTAATGCATCGAATGAAGGGAATAAGTTCTTCAATCTCGGTCACATTTGAAGCTGTTCAATTAAGTAGATGTAGTCAAGCATGCATGGCTAAGTTCGGCAAGTATCAAGGATGTTAGCTGGGGTTGTAAAATTGGCACGATTTTCTGATAAACGATCAACTCCAAGACAAAAGTAGCTCTGCAACTTTTGTGAATTTAAGGTTGGAGAAGAGATTAGCTCAGTCATGTCGTCTTGATAAGGTCAACTGGACGAGAAGTTTCGCAGCTCGGGGCCAAACTATTGCCTCGCTCTCAAACTGTCGACTGGTGTGGATGTCGAGGACTTAGGTTTTTCTTTTAAGAATGTCAAAAGTTTGATTGAGATGCGGCATATTCCGTGTTATTCGGATCACGTAAACATCTCTCGTTCGTAGGAGATGTTTGAATACTTTCTTCTAAAGCTATTTTCGCCCTATTTCAATACCCAGTCTTACAACCATCAGCTTGACCTAGTAATGACAATAAGAAAGCTCGCTCAATCATATGATGAAGAAATCGATCAAGAAAGCATCAGCTTGTCCATTAGTAGTTCTTGTGGACTAGCAGGCCGACGTTACTCTAGTTTATGTGCGTTTGATGATGTGGCCGTAGTTTCTACATATCATATATATACTATATACGAGATTGGGACCCTCTAAAGTTAGCATTCTCTAAAATTAAATGAATTTATCCTTCTAAGATCTGAATACATCAGCAATAAAAAAAAATTGAAGGGTTTATTGTTCGTTCTCATTTCGCCTTTGGGAGCAGCTGCGCAAGTGCGCGGTCACCCATTCACACTGCACGACTGCAAGCCAACGGCGACCGCAAGTCCATCTGTGCCTCCACCAGCACCTGCCCCTCGCCCTGCACTGCTGTCGCCGTCTCCATTACCCATTGTCAAGCTCCCTTGGCCACTAAAAGCGACCGGAGCCAGAACTTTTCTCAACGAGGTCAATATTATTATACGAAAAAACCAAAAGCAACAGAGCTATGCCATGTTCACCTTGAAAATTAAGAAAATTGCGGTAAAGATGTGAAAAAAAATTGAGCAAAGTACCGAGAAAGAGAACATATATTGTCCTCTGGAGGTGGCCGCGGATAATAAAAGGGCAATTGTCGGACTTTGACTGTGAGTTCTGTGGCCAAAGATTATCCGAAGGGAAAGTCCAAATCTTGGACTAGTGAACCGAATTACACGCAATTTGCATCTGCACGTTGAAGTCGGCCACCGAATCTTTTGGAAATATATTATACATTCTTGAACTTGGCCGCAAGCAGAAGAAGTCTTTGTGCGCTACTATTGATGAAGAAGACTTCTTGAAGCGCCGCTGGCTTGGCTTGCAAGTGCTTGGTGTGCGAAGATGTGCAGAGGGAATTTGTGAATTATATCCATGAAGTTAGTGTTGAAGCCGGTTAAATTCTCGCGGCAAGAATTTGTATTAACTCTTTCGTGAGATTGAGAGATTATTTCGTGAGGAATTATGGGGCTAATCATTGCGTGAATTATTTGATATAATTGGGGCTTGGAAAACACTTAAGAGTGTTTGAGTGACTCGAGTATGGTTGTAATCTCCGTCGTATCGCTTGATCTATAGTGGAATTTCGTGCTGCTTTTCCCGTGGACGTAGGTCACTATAACCGAACCACGTAAATCTTGTGTCCTATTTATTTTGTTTATTTTGTTTATTTTATTGTTCGATCGCTTGGCTTCTGCAACACCACTATCTCTCGCTCTCCTTAGTCCGTTCTTTGCCGGTTGGGTTTGTGCGACGCGACGCTGCAGTGGTCGCGAACCCGGTCATACCAGTTCTAGACCGCCGTATTCGAGCAATACAAAGCATCCTCTCGAGAGCTTCTCTCTCTCTCTCTAGACGCTTCATCTCTGCAGAATTCGCTTCCCTAAACATGGAAGAGCAAGCGAGAGCAGGCTTACCGAAGCCAAACAAGACGAATCGAAGTTTTAAGTGCCGCGCGGTTCATGATCTAAATCATCAGTGCATGACAGTTAACACCAATCTATTGTGCATATATGCTATTACAATTAATAGAAAAGTCACAGATGGATCTACTGATTAGCTGGTCGTTTTGGTTGTGTTTCTAAACAAAGTCGGCCATCCGCAGATTAGACCGTCATTATTATAAGCAGTGATGATGGCGCAATACATGACGCATACGGGCGAACCACCCTTAGAATCCGACAGTTGCACGCATCGTGTATTGCGACATCCACATTGGAAATGGAATGTGGCGTCGGCACTTAGGTAATAATATGATTTAATTATTGGTCAATGCATTATTCATGTGTGTCACTAAACTTAGATGTGAGTTTCTTTGGTGGTTATGACGCCTTTCAACCGCACAAACCACGTAGAGAGAGATTTTTCTAAGTTCAAGCGGGTGTTTGATATGGTTTCTTGGTAGTTGGTTATAGCATATCCTTCTGTTTTTTAATAAGAAATTTGAGAAGCAGATGTTGATCCAACAAACACGGACGTTTTGGAAGGGAAAACCGTCCAAAAAGTCCTGAACCTATTTTCCTATTATACGGCGACCAATTCAATCCCGAATTTTTTTATTTGATCGCTTTAACCCTAACCTTTTTGACGATTTGTCGATGTAGTCTTCTGCCCAATTTTGGCCACAAATTAGAATCACTAACGTGAACTATGTTTGTGATTTTTTAAAAAAAAGTTCTAAATCTTTTCTTTTCCTTTTCTTATTCTTATTCTTTCTTTCCCTATTTCCCCCTGCTCATCGCCAGGGGTCTTGGCAATGGCCGGCGACCACCACAAACCAGGGTGCGAGAGCGTTGAGACCTCGCCCAGATCCGGCAATGCGAGGTAAAGGTCGCGAGGCGAGGCTAAATTAGAGGGGACATAGGCTGCATTTGGGAATCACTTTGCCCTTTAGCAAATGCCAAGGTGTTAGGAAATTATTTTTTGAGAGCTTTGGGAGGATACATTGCATTTCCAAAGTCCTATCCCATGGTACAATGTAAGTCCAAGTCCAACCCAGCTTTGGGCTTTGGCATCTCTATTCTAGGAATGTTAATGCATTTTCTTCTTCTAACCTTGCCCTCGCTAAGCTTTCGAATTTCCAGTTTTACCCTCACCATTTTCACCTCGCGCGACGTTACCCGTAAGCCTCGCTTGCGGTCGCACAACCCCTGCTAGGTGAACCTAGGTGATGGCCTCTGGTGCCAAATCAAGCTTATCAGAGTCCGGCAGTCGCAAGTATATTTTCTTTTTATTTATTTTTTTATTTAAAATATATACCTAACGTCTTTTGTATGTCTAGTTAAACAATATTTAGGATCTATATGTTTTGGAGAAAAATTGCTTTTAGGAAATTGTTTTCCAACTTTCGGATATTTAGATTACGGAAAACTAATCGATCTACTGAATACGTTTTTTTATGAACTGAAAACAACAAGTTTATATACAAGGAAGATGACTTCTTCTTTTGACAAGAAGAAAATCACTTTCCCTAAACCACCAAAAAAAAAATAAAAACAAAGCGCTTTCCTTTAAAATGATTTTTACGAAAAATATTTTCCTTTATCATAAAATTTTCGGTGAAACAAACGCATTTTTTAATTACACTTTACCAAATACTATTTACATTTCAAGAAGCCCCCTCAACTTAAATGTTCGCATTTTCCCCCCAAGACTTTCCCCGGGAGCCGAACCAAGCGCAGCCACATGCACGTACGCTAAATTCGAAGAGCAATCATGGGGATCTTTTCCTTTTTTTTTTTACTCTTGATATTTCTATTTTCATCGCAAGGCTGTCTTGTAGGCATCGAGGAGTTCAATTATTGGACGAATGCCAAAGAGAGTTCCGATTCTCCTTATCGGCATAAACTTTAATAAACCGGGAAAAGATCAAATTCTCTCCACTTGCTGCGATGCGGGACGCATGTGAAAGTCGTCACCGTGAACACATTCACCCCCTTCTTTTTCTATAATGGAAAAAAAAATGAAAGAAAAAAATCGCGTTAGGCTGCGTTTTACCGTCTGAAATAGGCGATCTGTAAAAGCTTCATATTCTCGATTTTTTTTTTTTCGGGTCGAATCTTTTTAATTCTTGATGACTTCGATGGATAACAAGCAAACAAGACGACGCAAAAGAACGGACCCCCGGCGAGACGTTAAATTCCCGGAAAGTTAGATGTCCGCTTTGGAGATGATCATCCTTTCTACCCAAAATTTTTTTTTTTTGAAAAAAGGGTCTAGTTTATTTTCGTTGTCCATAGAAAATCCTCGGATTCGATGCACACTAACATGCAAGAACAACTGCAATTAGCCTAATTCCGTTACCTCATTTTTGCTTTAATCGTCGTAATCCGTTCCGTCCGTTAATGGGGCGCGATTCAGGTTCTCGTTTCGACTCGATATCACGCCAAAACAAAACCGGATTTGGAGCTTATCGCGAGGAATCAACCATTGAAATTGTAAAGCATCGTAAAAAAAAAAAAAGAAGCATTTTCCCGGGGGAAAAAAGACGAGAAAATTCCCCAATCTTTTCTTTGTGGCTAGCTTTTTCCCACGAATTTCTCGAAGCGCCATCATTATTCTCTTCTTTGGAGGGGGGGGGGGGTAAAATTGGTGAGTGCGGGGGCTTCGCACCTTTTTCCTTCTGCGTTATGGTCATCAGCTTTTCCAGCTCTTTTTCTTCCTTTTGATTCTTTCCTCTCTCTCTTTTTTGGGAAGTGAAAGCTGAAAAAAGCGAAAGAGGCAGAAAGCAAAAAAAAAAATGAATAAAGAATAGAAAAGAACCCCGCAAATTTAAAAAAAAATTTTAATTAAAAAAATTCAAGAGAAAGGGGTAAAATTAGTGGGACAATTTGGAAAAGAAAAAGGAGGGTGAACCTGCTCCATTTTCCTTAATTTCCGCGAAACAAGGTGTTGGGGGTGACCCGACCTTTAATTAAGTCGACTGACTAATCGAGATTATGTCAACATATAAACATTAAAGAAAGGAGAAATTCAATTTGGTTTTTTTTTGGGGGGG